CATGAAAAATTGTTCTCTTACCCTTTCCCATATCTGATATTTTTATTATATTTTCCATGCTAAAGAAGTGATTGTGTTTACTGGTCCGCAGCCACTATGAACAAAAACACCTTATGCTTTCAGTGGTTCATCTTGTCAGTGTATCTGCCTCACTAAATTACAAAATTATCTGACTCATGGGGACAAAAACAACGTTATTGGGGCTGGGGATTTAGCTCAATGGCAGAGCGCCAGCCTGGCAGGCACAAGGTCATGAGTTCAACTCCTGGTACTGGAAAAAAACCAAAAAAAAAAAAAAAAAAAAACCAAACAAACATGTTATCCTCTAGACAGCAAATTGAAAAGAAGCAATTTTCCCATCTCTGGGAAAGATAATTGATCTGATTTTGCTGTGGATGTTGCCATTATCACTCAGACCTGCAAAACTGAAATTATTGTTTACTCTCCCCACCTTCCATCACCCACACTGAGTCACCAAGTCATAATGAGTTTCCTTTAATAATGTCTCTTACATTGGTCTCCTCTGGTACCACGTAAATTCAGCCCCAGATGACTATAAGGTTCTCTTTGTGAATGACTTGGGCAGGGCTTCTTTTATTATGAAAGTAATACAGCTCATGAACGATTTGGAAATTTGAGTTAGAGAATATCAGTTATATACAACCCCTCTGCCTAGAGATGATCATTCATTTTGACCCATTTCCTTCCATTCATTGTTTTGGGAGTGCACTGGGGCACTTGTATAACAATTAGAATTGCAGTATACTACACATGTATAATGTTTCCTACTCTGAGTATTGTGTTAAAACAGTAAACTCTGAAAACTTAATCTTTCCTAAACTAATTCTTGGTTATTGATGATTCGTTGGTTTCTAATTTTTCATGTTAGAAAGCAAATGATGTATTGACCATCCTTGTGCTATAGTTGGGCTATTTCCTTAAAATCTATTATTAAAAGTATAATTATAGGATCAAAGATTCTTATTACATTTTATCAAGTTGCCCTCCAGAAAGGATATACAGGTTGAGCACTCTTAATCTGAAAAACCAAAATCTGAAATGGTCAGAAATCTGAAACTTCTTTTTCTGGTACTGGGGGTTAAACCCAGAAAGCACTGAGCTACATCCCAGCTTTTTTGGGGGTGGGGGCACAGGGTCTCTCTAAGTCACCCAGACTGACCTCAAACTTGCAATCCTTCTGCCTCAGCCTCCTGAGTAGGTAAGATTACAAGTATGTGTCACATGCCTAGCAGATATCTAAACCTTTGAGCAATGACATAATACTTCAAAAGTTTTTTTTTTTTCTTTTTGTACCAGGAATCGAACTGAGGACCTCAGGCTTGCCAGGCAGCTGCTGTGCCACTGAGCTATAACCCCAGCCCTCTCAAAAGTTTTCTTTATTCTGGAGCATTTCAGATTTTAGATTTTTGGATTAGAAATGTTCAGCAAGCAAAGTCTATGCAAATATACAGTGACTAACTCCAAGATCTAGAATATTTCAGGTTGTAAATATTCTGAATAATGCATAATGTGACAGTTAAGTTTAATTGTGGCAACTTGATTGGCTTTGGAGTTGGCCAGAAGACTGGTAGAACACACTTGCTGGTGCGTGTCTGGATGGGTCACAGAGGCATGATTTTGTGTACTATATCTGGTCCCTTGTCTCCTCCTCTCTGGTGGTGTGCCTCTGTTCTGCTTCCCACACAACTTTGCTCCACCATGCCCTTCTGCCTTGGAGCCTGCCAAATATGTACCGAATCCCCTGAAATGCTGAACTAATTTCTCCTTTGAGTTGTGTGGGCATTGGATATTGTGTCCTAGCAGTGGGAAAGTTGACTAATACAGATACTCAACTGGTATACTCTATTCCAGGCCCATCAGCAACACATAAACAGTGCTACTTCCCTATCTACTTGTTACAAACAAAATATTGCCTCTTTTTAGGAATTCATTCGAGGAGAAATGTATATCTCATCAAGGCTTTGGTTTGGCTGTCTTGTGTATATTGGTAGGTGCACACGTGTTTGCACAGATATTGGGCATTTGTGTCCTGGCACTCTGACTAGCCTCCATCCTGCTAAGAAGTGCAGCAAATTCAAATGTCCTTCAGAGGTCTGGCATTGAGGTCAGTGTGTGAAACCACAGTGGGAACTGAGAATAACAGGGGCTGAAATGAGTCAGACAGCAAATGTCCTGCCTAAGATTTCAAATACAAAAAATTTAAATATATCACACCAGCCAAACAAGACATCTAATGGGGCAATTCAGTTTGCTGCCATGTTAGTGCTTCCTCTCTCTGATCCATCCCACCTGAATGGTTGATAGAGTAATATTCCTAATACCTTCCCATTGCAAGCTATTCATAATGTGACTCCAAATATTTTTGTCAGAATTCCCCTATCCAAACTCTCTACTTTTGTCAAACAAAACTTTTAGAAGACAGCGGTATGCTTGAGAACAAGCACCCTATCTTACGAGCCAATACAGCATAGTGGAAAGAGTAAGAGAACTCTGGAATTAGATAGTCTTGGGTGAAATCCTACCTTAGCACCAACCAGCTGTGTGATCATAGCTAAGTTAGTTAGCCCCATTGATGCTCCATTTCCTCATCTGTAATTCACTTTTTTTGTTTTTTTTTTCTGGTACTGGGAATCGAACTCATGACCTTGTGCTTGCCAGGCAGGTGCTGTGCCGCTGAGCTAAATCCCCAGCCCCTCCTCATCTGTAAAGATACTGACAGCCTCTATTCCACAGGGTGGGTAGGAGGATTCAGTAAAGTAAGCAAGGTACTTGTTACACAGTCTGGAACACAGTAGACCTTCAATAATTGGTTAGAGCGGTTTCATTACTTGCACAATTCCCAACTTCCAGCATCTATCATAGCAGCTGTTGAAATGAAGAAAGAAATAGTGGCAAGGGAAAATATCTCTAACAGTGATTTCGAAGTATGGACCACAAACTATCTTTTTAATCATCATCACCATTAAAGTTTATCCCTAAATATATGATGAACTACAAGAAAACACTTCATTCTAGCTCTGAGTGGCAAAAGATACTATGGCAGGGAATCCAGATGTTTAAATAGGAGTAGAATCAAGGGGCACTGTCACGTCAAGCAAAAAGAAAAGTTTACTTTTTGCCAGATTTTTAAGTTCCACCTTTGGCCAGGGGGTTCTTCTCAACAACATTCATATTTAGCTCCGTGAGTTTCTTCTGCCCCTGTGTTTCTGGTTAAAAACCTTTTCTTTCTCATGCATCTCCTTGGTGTGCTTCTTGGGCTGTTTCCAGGGCTTCTTGCCACCTTCACAGCTAGACATGGTGCCTGCCACCCTTTATGCAGACCCTAGTCCTTCTATAGACTCCTGTAACATGATGGGAATCACCTGTGGGCTCCTGTTAACAATGCAGGTGCCTAGGCCTCATTTTTGACTTACTGAATCAGAATTTCTGGAGCAGGAGCCCAGGAACCTTACAAACATTCCATCTGATTGTGATTCAAAGTTGAAGAACCACTGATCGCCACACTTGCCCCACTTACAGTGTGCAGTCAGGCACCAGATTTCTGCACCTGTCTGTCTAGTGGTGCCCTATCCCCAGAGTCTGCAGTTACCCACTGTCTGTGAAGGAGAACTGGAGAAAAAGTGATCCAAAAGAATTCTCTGATAGTCTACCAGCTTCTCTGCCTTCCTTCCCGAGCCAAATAACTTTGCTCCCACTGTGAATCAACCATTATTGCAAGAATCATTTTGGCATGAAAGACAGATGGAAATGATTATCAACAGTTAAGATTCATCACGCATGCTTATGAAGCACTTACAATGTGCCAGGCATGCTAACTAGTTTATACTGTTAATTACTGTGTATTAAATTAAGTGAATCCATATAGTACTAGGAGGCAGGCGCTGTTGTTACCTTCACTTTACAAATAGGAAAACTGAGTCAAGAGAGGATAAGGAAATCACTTAAAGTTAAAAAGACAGTCAGTGACACAGCAGACATTTGAATGCAGACAATCTGACTCCAGAGCCTGGGCTATTATCTAGTATGCTGTGTTACTTCCTTAAATTAACTGCCTTATGCCTATTAGTACTAATTTAAAATATATACAGCCATATTGGTATTTATTTCATTTAGTGTTTTTATGATTTCATTAGGGTGACTGCATTTATCACAGAAACTTCAAATTCTTTTCTTCCAATAATGCCTTAGGTTTGTAGCTATAATTCTAGCTTTAGAGTCTGCTGGAAACCAACTTTAACAGTTGGAATGAGCCTATTCTATTTTCTTGTGTTCGGGGTCCGACTTCCCACACAATGGCACAACCAAAGTGCATTTCAATTGCCCTGTATATTTTCCTGTATTGAGTTTTAAAAATTATCTAAGAGTCAGAAGGCCTGTCTATCAGGCTACCTTCACAAAGGAGGCTCTTCCTCCTGGATGTTTGGATGAAACATGCCCCTTACACTTCAAAAACAGGCATAACCCATGATCTAAAATAGGCAAAGTGTACTAAGGACCTCTTAGCTGGTATGCTTGGCCTGAGATATACCTTAAATCAGCTCTTTAATCTTTTTAGATAAAACTATAGTTTGAAAACCAATTTTGAAATGAAATTCTGGTACATGCTACAACATGATAAACCTTGAAAACCTGATGCAAACTGAAATGAGTACACATAAAAAGAAAAAAATATTGTTGGTTCCACGTATATGAGGTATCTAGACTCGGTAAATCCCCAGAGACAGGAAGTTCATAGTGCTTATCAGGGACAGGGAAATGGCAGAATGGAGAGCTATTGTTTAATGAGCGTAGTTTCTGTTTGGGTTGATTGAGTAAGTTCTCGAAATAGACAGTCATGATAGTCGCCCAACATTAGAAATGTGCTTAATAGCACTGAATTATACATTTAAAATTGTTGAAATTGTGATTTTTATAAAAAATTCTGTAGCCTCAAAAAACATAACCAATTTCAATCAAATTCCCATGGACTCAGTGCTTACCAGGGTATCATCATTCTGGTCTCCAAACATTTCTTTAAAAATCTTGCCAGGATCAGGAATTGGAGGGAATATAATGATCTTGAGCCTTTAAGAAAACAGATATAATTTGAATCAAACCTTCCACTGGATAGGAGTGCCCCACTTAAGTACAGCCTTACTAAAGGAAGTTACACGAAAGTCATGACTTAGCAAAAGTCATCATATACATGTTCCTTTAGTGACAAGACAGTTGTGAAAACAATTCTGTAAAAAAGCCATGGAAAAATCTATGTCTTAAGAGCATCAAGTTTGAGCACAGCAAGCAGGCCCCCAGGATAAGAAATTACTTACATTCTATCATTTAAATAATATTGATGTTTTACTTCTAACAACCAGACAGAAGCTTGCTTTTTATAATTTTGATAAACAATCTAAGGATAGGGTATATTTCTCTTTCATTTTTCTTTTCTTCTTACTTTTTTCCTTTCCAGTTTTGAATCCTGTAGTCCCTTTTGGTGACCTGACTCATTTTTCAGGGACTACCTATTGGTGTTCAAGCTTCAAGTTTTTGTCCTTTTTACTTCTCTGTATCTTACTCACTTTAGGAGCATTCTCTTGCAGTCTTTTCAAACACATACATGGCAATGACTCCCCCCATCATATCTCCATTCCAGAGTTCTCCCTTAAATTCTAGATTCATATATACAGTGCTTATTTAACATGTCTCCTTGGATACCTAGTAGGCATCAATATGTTCAAAAATGAAGTCTTTATCTTTCCCTAAAGGCAGCACTCCTCAGTCTTCTCTGTCTGGCAAATGGCAGATAACACTTACTCAGTTGTTTAAGTACAAAACTGTTAATGGGTGTCTTTGAATCCTCAATTTCCCTTACACTTCCACAGAGAAGCCGCTACCAGCCAGCAAGTCTTAGCAACTGTATTTTCAAAATATATTGCATGACCTGATCACTTCTTCCTACCTTTATTACTAACCGTCTAGTATAGGCTATCCTCATCTTTCTCCCAAAATACTGCAATGCCTGCTAACTAGTCTACCTGCTCCCGTTTTTGCACAAGTCATTTCTTCACTCAGCAATTACTGCGATCCTTTCCTCAGATCACACCCTTACCCTGCTTAAAATGCTCCAATATCTCCTACTGTCTAAGGAAAAAGACATAGTTCCTTGCCATGGCTTGCATGGTCTGCTCTGCCGACTTCTCCACTTCCTGTCCAGCCACTCTCTCTCTTGTACACTCTACCTCAGCCGGACACACCAAGCTTATTCCAGCACTAAGGCCTTTGCACTTGCTGTTCAGTTGGGCTTGGATGCTCTTTATTCAAATATTTTAGTGGTTCACTCCTTTACTTTATTTTCCTCCTCACATGTCATTTTCTCAGAGAGACCTCTCTGGCTCTTCTACATAAGATGCATCTCCAGTCACTTACTAGCCCCATCTCCTGCCAACATGCAACTCTACTTTTCACTATGTGAAACCAGTGTGTGTGTGTGTGTGTGTGTGTGTGCTGCTATTACACAGATAGAGACTTTGTCCTTTTTACTGTTGTGCCACCAGCACTTAGAGCAGTGTGTGGCATATAAATAGGCATTCGGTGTATAAGATGCATAATGAAATAATGTCGAAATATAAAATGTTGGTTCTGGAGAACTAATAGCCTTATTCCAATCTTAGGTATTTACTGCAACAGCAAGTAACACTGCCTATAGTGAGATAGAGAAGACAAAACATTCTTAAGGAATGAGCACCATATATTAGTGACAATCTCTAAAGTCTTTATCCCTGTAGCTTTAGGTAGCACGCTGCTTGCATTAGTATTACGTAAGTCATTTCATTGGCAATCATCTTCATTTCTTTTTTCTTTTTTGGTTCTGAGGTTTGAACCCAGGGCTTCACACATCCTAAGCCTGGGCTTTACCTCTGTGGTACACTCCCAGCCTCTATTTTTAAAATTACATTCCATAAGCTACCAAATAACCATTGATAAATTAGACATTTGAATGAATAAATGAACACAGAGCCTATTCAACAAGGCTAAACACATGCAACAGAAGCAGTGTTTGAGCAGAGACCTAACCTCACCAGAAAATGGGCACAATAGTACTTTTCTTTATCATGTCATGCCATCAAAAGCCATTTATGGTGAAAATGCTTCTAATACACTGGGAAAATATAAAAACTAGCTCCGAGAGTAGTAACCATAGCAACAAGGCTAGCAGAAACTGTAAAATCTGTCTGGGGAGGTGCCTTACCTTTTTAGATAAAGCAGAAGGACAATGATTGTACCCGCAACGATGACTGGAATGATAAGTAACACGGTCATATAGAATGTGGAATTGGGCTTCTTACCTAGAGAATGGAAAGCAAACAGAAAGACATAAAAACTAGATCCTTTTTAGTAATAAATCAGGGAACAATTTTGTTAGCTATTGTTATTTCTGTCTCCTAGCCCAACCTATTTTTTCAAAGATAATTTTTTTTTGTTTGTTTGTTTGGTTTTTCTCCGGTACCGGGAACCGAACTCACGACCTTGCACTTGCCAGGCAGGCGCTTTGCCGCTGAGCTAAATCCCCAGCCCCAAAAGATAATTTCTGTTACCGTAATAATTTAAAAATGTCCTGTTATAGCGCCTGAAATTTCTAGGATGAATAAACACCTTAAGGGTTGTCTACAATTAGGGTATCTTAACTAGTTCTAGACACTATTAAAAGATATAAAAGATACCATATCTATTAAAGATCTCACATCATTAACAGTGACTACCTTTTCTTACTACTTACTTACCACTACTAGAAGACCTAGCAATAGCTACCGCTACACTATTCGTAAATGAGCTCCAATGTATGTCAGGTATCATCCTAAGTGCTTTGACATGTTTACCTTCTATGTATGCAGAGAGATAGACAGTATTATCTTTCATTTATACAGATAAATGAAAGGGATTGGCAGTTCATTAGAAGGTTTAGTACACAACACAGGCAAGTCTAACATATAGCATCACCCATTCCAAAGCCTGCCTTGCTACACAAAACACATGGAATGCCACAATGGCACAATCTTGAAGAAGCATCATCACCAAACATTATTGTTTTAGGCAGCCTCTAAGATGACATCAAATGCTTCTTGCCTCTTGGTAATCATTCTTCTGAAATCCCCCTCCCTTTGAACATGGGCTGTACTAATCGACTTGCTTTTAAATAGTCAAACAGCAGCAGCAATGTGGTGTCATTTCCAAAATTAGGTGAGAAAGGACCATGGTGTCCACATTGGGGGTTTTCTCACACATTCTTTCTTGCTTGGATCACTCCCTTGGGGAGGGCAGCGTCTCTGGCAGGAGGTAACCCTGTGGGAAGGTCCAAGTGCTCAGAGGCTAAGGGAAGCCTCTGTATGAGTTTCTGGAGGCTGTTGTAATAAATTACCACAAAGTAAGGGCTAAACCACAGAAATTTATTCTCTCACAGTTAGGGAGGCTAGAAGTTCAAAATCAAGGTATCAGCAATGTCATGTTCCCTCTGAAGGCTCTGGAGAAGAATCTCTCCTTGCTTCTTTCTAGATTCTCATGGCTCCGGGAAATCTCCGCATCACTCTGACCTCTGCCTCTATCTTCGCATGGCTGCGTTTTTGTGTGTCTATGTATCTTTTTCTCTGTGTTTCCTTTCCTCTTCTGATAAGGACACTTAGTTATTAGATTTAGGGTTCACGCTAATACAGTATAACCTCATCTTAACTTGATTATATCTACAAAAACTCTATTTCCAAATAATGTCATATTCACAGGTACTGGAGGTTGAGACTTGAACATACCATTTTGAGAAAACATGATTCAACCCGCCATAACCTACACCTAGCAATCAGTGAGAAACTGAAGCTTTCCAACAACCACAGGAGTGAGCTTGGGAATGGATTTTCCAGCCCCACCCAAGCCTTTACTCAAGACTGTAATCCTACTTAGAGCCAGACTGCAACTTCATGAGGCCACTAGGTAAACTGTGCCTAGATTCCTGACCCACAGAAACTGTAAGGTGGTAAGTGTGTGTTGCTTAGAGATGCTCAACTTTGGAAGAATTTGCTTTGCAACAATAGGTAACTAATATAACCATGCCTGGCAGACCACTTATTTGACCTAGTAATTAATAGAGAACTGACTTCCTCAACAACCCATCTCTCTGCGTCTTAGACACCTGTTTAGTAGTTCTTAAGTTGGTTCTTTGTTGCCCCCTGGAATCACAGAAAGGAAGAAAGCCTATTTCCATTTCAACTTCACAACACCACAGATGTTAGAATTCAGCAATTACGAGTCTTCGAGGTTACTTCCATTGTGCCTCATCAAGTTTTGCGGTTCTTCAACATCCTGATTATCCTTTCAAGGAGAGATTCAGGTCTGTCAATGCGTTTCCTACAATGTGGTGCTCAGAATGGGATGCTGCACACTTCCAATGTGGCCAGATCCCCGTGCCCTACCCAGCACTAGGACCGCAGCCCCTGTTCTAGCATTGCTGCCCAAGACCACACATGCCTTTCAGGGATGTTTTAAGTTGCAATGTTGAGTCCCATTGAGTTTACAGTCAAGTGAAGCCCTGTACCCCACTGCACAATACATGTGTGTAAAGCTCAGGTCTTTCAAATTCTGTACCTGAGCAGGGACTGCTCCGTGTCTCACTAACAAGTGATTTTTCTTCAAACCTAGATACAGGTTTGTCTTTGAAATGCCACCAAGATCACTGCTTCCTCCTTGATTCTGTCAACTAGCATATAGGACAGTCCTCTAGCATGGTAAAACCTGCATATTTGATCGTGCCTGCCTTCTATGTCTTTGTTCAGGTTGTTAATAAAGATGGAGGTGGGACAGAAGTGAAAATAACACCTGACTACCTGGATTGTGGTTTTCCAAATAGTTGTATACTGTCAGTGAACCCTGGGTGACTTGATACTAATTAAACAGAAAATACATTTAAATAATAAGTACTGTTTGACTGGCATCAAGAAAGCCTGACAGTCCCTTTCCCCAATCAATTTTCCACTTCAGCTCAGTTTCCATGCATCAATGTTTTGAATTTTAATGAAATTCTGTTTTCTTACCTATACCCATCACTTGACTCCAATTACTCCAGAGTTTGTCATCCTCATAGCATAATTTATTTGTCTTGACTCTTATTCTCACTGTGTAAAAAGTATCAGGAAGGACACCAGGGACCATGAAACAAGTTGTATCCTTAGATATAAAAACACACAAACACTATTACCAGTTTATTCTTTCTCTTCTATTGAATCATAACATAATTATCTGCCAGATTCTGTATATGCTTAAGACTTGGATTGCAATTCAAATGATGTCTTTGACTCCAAGTTGGCAATAACCCACAAAGTACTTCATTTCCCTGAAAGCAGATCAAATTTACCCTGTGTCAGGCCTGCTCCAACCCCTATTATTTGAAGGCTAAGCCCAAACAGCTAAAGTTAAATTTACTGACCTTCATGTTTCTCTCAAACACTGCATTCTGACATCCGTCCTCGTCAGTCTTGAAAATTAAAAAAAAAAAATGAATGAGTCCCAAATGTTTAAAAACACATTTTATATCATCTATCTATTTCTAAAAAATTTCCTTATAGCCCATTAAAAGGGGACCAAGTGCAGTGAAAAAAGGATTGGCCTTATTAATAAGTGGTGCTCAATCAATTACAGATCTATATGGGAAAAATAGAATCTTGACCTCCTACCTCCCACTATTCACAAAGCTCAATTCCAAATATATTTCAGATCTAAACAAGGAAAGTAAAATGGACAAATAAACACATAAATGTAACAGGCTTTTAGATGAATGCATAGAATATTGTTGCAACTTTGAAAAAGGAAGATTTCTTCAATTGCACTCAAAAATCCCACATTAACAACAAATAGAAAATGTTTATAAAGGGGTCTGTATTAAAACTTAAAACTTCTGCTTATCAAATGATAATCTACTAGGGAAATAACAGGAAATGTGTAGAAGGGAAGAACATATTTGCAATTGCTGACAAGGATCTTGCATATATTCTTTTCTCTGAAACTCAATGAGAAAGATAATTTATTACAAAAACTGGCAAAAAACTTAACAGACACTTCACAAGAAATTATGTAAGCTGCCAGTAAGCATATGAAAAAGTATTCAACTTTACTGATCATCAAGGAAATTCAAATTAAACCTACAAGATAATGATACACATACTTACTAGATAGAATAGCCAAGTGTGAACAAGAACCATCTAGAATTCTCAATTTCTGCTTCATAGTGTGAATTGGCACAACCATTTTGGAAAACTGTTATCTACTAGATACAATCTAATGTAACCTATGAACCACATATGCTTATATAGGCCCAACAGGAATGTATGCACATGTGCACCTAGAGATAAGTGTGAAAATGTTCATAAAACTATTTATACTACCCTAAACTGGAACTTACCCAAATTGGTGAGAGAATGGATAAATAGTGATATATTCACATAATGCAATATATATATAATGAGAATGAACCCTCTACAACTACAGGAAACATTATTGGAGAATCTTATAATGTTGAATGAAAGAGGAAGATAAATATAAAAGTACATTCTGCATATCCCATTTATAAGAAGTTTTAAAAGCAGTAACAAAACAAATTTATGGGATTAGAAGTCAAGATGTAGCTGCTCTCTGGGAGAGTAGCGACTTAAAGAGATCCTGAGAGGGTTTTGGGGTGCTGGTAACATAGATGGAAAGCCATTTGTGAAAACTTTATGAAAAAAATCATTGAGCTATGTACAGTGGTACCTTGGTTCACAAAATTAATTTGTTCTATGCTTTTGGAAAAGATGTCCACATTTATGTTTGTGTGGGAAAGATAATATAATTATGTGCCAGATTCTGTATATGCTTAAGACTTGGATTGGAATTCAAATGATCTGTCTTTGACTCCAAGTTGGCAATAACCTTCTCTTGTGTTTGTCTCCTGATGCAAAGTTAGCAAACAAAAGCAAAATTTTGCCAAGCATTCTGTTTGGAAACCAAACTGTTTACAAACAAAAGTGTTCGTGAACCAATGTACCACTGCATTACGATTTGTGTAATTTGTATCTTGTGTAATATACATCAATAAAAAGTTTTGAAATGAGTGAGCAACAGAGACAGCCAGACTAGTCGTCCTTGTTCAGAGTATAAGATACAAGAATGACTAAGTTGGAGAAAAGAATGCATAATTTAGAATTCTCCACACAGTGTAAGTCACTTGCTATCTGATGTAAAAAGAATAATCATTTCCCTAAATTCAAGCTTCTAAAGAGTGGAATCAAAAATCTGCTGCTTAGTTAACTTCTATTAAAGACATTTAAACATGGAGCAAAGACTAGAACACATGTCCACTAATTTACTGTGACTTACTAAGTGGTTCCTACTGGTATATGTGAAAAACTGAAAGGCCAATAGAATAAAAATGGACCATGTTTTCCAGATTTCATATAAGGGCAGAGGAGGAGCCACTCAAGGGGATACTGTGTCCTGCTGCTGGGTGTTTGGGATTACAGACCTGTTGTGGAATCCCCAGGGTCAACTACCACTTGAGGGACTAATGTCCCTCCTTCCCTGGACCATCTGCCAAATACATAAATTCCAAAGTCAGCAAATCATTGAGTAGATTTAAGTCTCTAGGCTCTTACTCAAATGTAAATCCTCTGGCATAGTTTATCAGCTACTCAGATCTTTCTGAGAGGAGGAAAACCAGGACACAGCATCAAGTACACAGTTTTTCAGGATGGATGGTGGTAATAAAACAAGCCATTCCTTATTTCATGATTCTGTCATGAGCTAACTCTGAGCACAATCCCCTTGTGATGGTATAGTTCACGTTCTGTCTTACTTCCTTTTCTTAACTGTTAACACCAAGCAAAATAATTCCTCAAACTGTATTACAAAAAGAAAAAGAGGTCTAACCAGCAGAGCTCAAAATCAGTAAGGGCACAAATAACTGATGACACTCTAAAGCCAGGTGTGGTGGCTCATGCCTATAGTCCCAGCACTTGGGAGGCTGAGGCAGGAGGACTGCTGAGAGTTTGAGGCCAGCCTAGGCTTCACATGAGTTCAAGGCCAGCCTAAACTACATAGCAAGACTCTGTCTCAAACAAACAAACAAGAACAGATGACATTCTAGAGGAGGAAACAGCTGATGAACATCTGCCAGAAGAAAGAATATTCAAGTTAAGTGCATAAACAGAATTAATTCCAAAGAGACTATATTTCTGATTTACATAGATAATTTCTATAGTGTATGTGTTCTCTTTAGTTTGGAAGTTTATAAAAACAAAAGAAACTAAATATGATAAGACGTTATTAAGAGATAATTATGAGTATGGTGTTACACCAAGTATTACTGGTGAAAGTTCAATACACAGAGACCAACCAACCAACCTTTGAAACCTTTAAAGCCTAGTAACTTATTATTTATTATGAACTATAGCAAGTTAAACTCTTAATCTTAGTACCTTAAAAATACGTAGGTTACAGTAGTACTTTGTGGGGGTTGTCATAAGCTACTGTATAAAACGCCCATAAAGGAGTATCTTTGTGGTACATTCTAAACACTTAATCAATAAATGATGGCTAGTAGTGTTAAGATGAAGTACTGAAGTGGTGTCCTGTGGTTAAGAATACAAGCTTTGTGGTTAAGTTTGCTTAAATTATGATTCTATCTCTTACTGGAAATGGGAGTAACTAAGTTTTCTCATGTGTAAAATGGGGATCAAATAATAGGACCAAGATCTTTAGGGTTACTGCGAGCTCTAAATGAGACAGTTTAGATACAGTATTTACTAACACACTCAGTACATAGTCAGCGTTCAGTACATATTAGCTGCTATTAGTAGCAAGAGCAGGATAAAATAGATACCACCTGACTCCTCTTTACAGGAATTTATATTTTTAGTGGAAAGAACAGCCATATATGCGGTCAGGTTTAAAAAGGTAGGACATAATGGAGGAGTAAAGTTAATACAAGTAGCGTGTATCTCAGAAAATCACACACAGGTGACCACTAAAGGCAAAATAATCAAAATAGTTCAGGTTTTGGATTAATTATTTTCTTACAAATTTAAGCATTATACCCTTCCCTATGTGGAAGCTTTTGCTTCTGCCCTCTGTACTCTTTCATGGGAACACTGCAGCTTCTGGCAGTAATGATGACTGTACTTCAGCAGAGTCATCTGCCAAAGGTCCAGTCACCCCCTCTGGGGTGATAGCCTGTCAACACTGGCTTATTTTAGTTAGCATTTTGAAAAGTTTTATAATAAGCTAAAACAACTGTACCAAGGAATTTGCTCACATACAAGTTGCTGGGCTCTTTTAAAAGCCAATATAAAACATCTTGTATCTAACCTCTAAAACTTACAGGAATCATGCAAAAGGCACAGGCAGGAAGCAAAAAAGTGAGTGGTGCAGTCCCTGAAGTCTCAAGGCACTGTCTTATGGAAATATGTACCCAGAGCAGCATGATTTTAAATCTGGGCAAAAAAAATTAAATTTGGTAAGCAAAGAGTGAACCCCCCCGCCTCTGTTTGTGATCCAAACAAAAGCATAGAAAGCTTAATTTGTGACCCCTTCTCTAAACCTAACATGAGACTGACGCCCTGAGGTTATACCATATTCTATTCAAGGCCTCATAGGGATCTCTAATTAGAATGTTTGTATTAGATTCTAAATAGCAGAAGTACACATAATCCAACAAATACTGACTACTGTACTCAAAACTGACTACCTTCTTTGGGTTGGAGGTATAGCTCAGCAGCACAAGTGCCTGCCTGGCAAGCGCAAGGTCCTGAGTTCAACTCCCAGTACCAAAAAAAAAAAAAAAAAAGAAAAAGAAAAAGAAAAAGGATCTACATTTGACACAAACTCCAAGAAAATGAAATGGTCTTAGTAAATCCTACAAGAATCTACATGATCTGATCTCTGCATTCTGCTTAGCCATTTTTTCCTACTATATGCAGGCCACACCAGTTGTGTTTTTGTTTTCCCACAAGTGTCACGCTCATTTTTGCCTCAGTCATTGTATCTGCTGTCCTCAGTAACTCCAGATCTTCACAGGACTCTCCCAGTCACTCTATTACACCACAACCCCATTTTATTTTCTTCACAGTACTTATGCCCAGAAGTTAACATGCTCATTGAAATGTACTTTTCTAATGTGTAAGCTTCATGAAGAAAAAAACTTGTTGATCAAGTGCCACATTTACTGCTTTATTCCCAGTACATAAAATAGAACCTGGCAAATGGTAGACACCTAATAAAAATTTGTTGAGCAAGGGATAAAGGTGTAGTTCAGCAGTAGAGTATTTACCTGACATGCACCAGGCCCTACATTCAATCCCCAGCACTGAAAAAAAGCATATATATATATATATATATATATATATATATATATATATATATATATATATATATGTATCCCAAAACATTGGTTTACTGAATATTTTAGCCAGGCACAGTGGTGCATGCCTATAATCCTAGCTACTCAGGAGGCTGAGGCAGGAGGATTGCCAAGTTTGATGTCAGCCTAGGCAACTTCATGACACTATATCTCAAAAAAAATCTAAAGGGTTGTAGATGTGAGGCCATGGGTTCAAGTCCCAGAACCAAAGGAAAAAAGGAAACAAAACTTATATTGAAGAAATAAATTAATGAATGTGCTGAACTTTGCAGCAAATACTAACACAAACCGTCAAAGTTTCCATGTTGCCCTATTCAGACAAAAAGTTTCTTTATCATCATTTTCTGGTAACAAATGTAAGAGCTATATTTCATTTGTATTTAATTTAATAAATTCAAGTGAAAGAAAAATATCCAAGGAAAAATAATAATCTAAAAAACTTACGGAGAAAATACCATGTATCTCAGTTTGGCTTTTATTGACTTCTACTTCATAAGATAAGCATTTGCTATCAAACTTCGGTGGATTCTCCCATTGCACATATAAGGTACCTTCTTTGAATAAGAGATTTTTGATATGCGGAGGATCAGGTTTCACTGCAAGATAGAAGAAAGTAAATTCAGCTTCCAAAATGTGATTATATACATGTAAAATGGATAATGAAGGCTCACAAAGTTAAATCACAATCGGGCCGATATTTTTAATGCCTTTACATGATGAGATATATGTTTTCAGAATTTCTGGATAGCCACAATTAGTGGAAGAAGCTTACTTAAAACTGGCTGGAAGCCAGGCATGCCTGTAATCTCAGCATTCAGAAGTTTGAGGCCAGCCTGGTTTACATAGCAAGTTCAAGGCCAGGCCAGTCTATATGGCAAGACCTTGTCTCAAAAAATTTTAAAGAAAGATTTTAAAAACTGCTTAGTAAAATTAATTTAAGCATGACATGAACTCTGACCTGCATCTGGTTACAAAAATGGCCAAGGTACAATGAGGGCATCTAACTACAACATAAAGAATAAAGAAAAGAAATGCCTTGCTCCAGATGTGCCCCTACTTGACGGGTAACAAAGCACCAGGTACAAGGGGCTGACCCAGCTGTCATTCACTCATACCAATCAGAGACCACAATGTAAACATTAGCCTAGTCTCTGTCACATGCTATAACACGGATAAACCCTGAGAACATGACATTAACTGAAATAAGCCAGTCACAAAAAAAAGATAAATATTATATAACTCCACTCACAGGATGTAGCTGAAGCAGTCAAGTTCACAGAAACAAAGTAGAAACGTTCACCAAATAAAGCCAAGGGCTAGGGGGCAGGGGAGTTTGTATTTAGTGTAAATAGAGCTTCAGTTTACACTGAAATTTCAGTTTGGCAGGGTGAAAAGTTCTAGATATCCATTGCACAACAATGTGAACTTTACACTTAAATATAATTGTGATGGTAAATTCAATATTATGTAATTGTAACCACAATTTATTAGAATAAATATTTTAAAAAATCATTAGCCAGGTCAATTTACCTTGGTTGGAGTCAGATATACTTAAGACCAACCAACAGAAAATAATGGATAATTAACAGAAAACAACTTCTGGCTGAGAAGAATTGTCCTTTATGCCATCATTAATTCCAGGAAGAAGAGCATCAAAATACATAAGCCTAAAAAGTATATGTAGGCTAATCTGCCCGAAAGAGGATGGAAAGAGGTTTTGCTCCATCACATCCTACTTGGCAAACTATCTTGAGCCTACTCTCTTGGCCTACAAACTAGGCTGCCTTTGGTCTCCTGTTAGAATTTACTTCCTCGACTATCTGAAGGGGTTGTAAGTAATGTTCTGCTTACAGACTTGGGATCCCTGGTCAAAGGACGGCTCTTTGCCTATAAATCATCTGTACAGCACTAAGCCAAAACCTGATCTCCTTATTAGGATAATGCAACAAATAAACCAGTATGCAAACGGTATTTTCTTTAGAGATTTACAAAATGCTTTTATATCTCTTATGTTGTCTGGACCTAATGACAATTCTTTGAGGTCAAAAGGGACCATATACTCCACTTTACAGATAAGGAAACACTTGGGGAGGGCTCATATGCCTTGTCCAAGGTGGAGCTAGGACCTCAACCAGATATTCTGTACTCAAACGAAGGCCTCTTTCTAAGAGGCTGATACAGTTCCTACACCGACATATGGCTATCCTGGTTTTTCGGACTAATCTGTGCCTGTGCCATAAAGAGTATTAGATATTTTCAATGTGGAACTGGAGGAGTACCTCAGTGGTAGAGAATCTGTTAAGCAGTTTTTAAGCTATGGGATCAATATCCAGCATCAAAAAACTTTTAATATCACCCCTGATTATATCACCTTCACTCTCAACTTTTTCTGAGAGACATTTAGGAACCATATGATCATATAAGCATCACCTTCTCAAGTATCATAAGTGAAGTAAGAATAGATCTTACAGTCACACAACCTGAATTTCAATACTGGTTCTACAACTAAATTGTTCCAAGTCTCAGCATGCTCCTAAGTACAAGAATAAAGCACCTGGCACATGTGCTCAAGAAGCAGAATTTCCCAGCTTGCTTCTGTAAAAAGGATCTATTGAGGAAAGGTAACATACCTGTAGTCTCTTGTTTGAGGAAAATCTGAAGACCAAACTTATCATTTTCTTACGATTTGTAAGGATTGTTCAAAAGACATAAGCCACTTTTATCTGCACTGTTACAGAGGATCTAAAACTTACCACGGGATGTTAAAGGCACTATATGGAACGATGGCCTAATTTTTCCTGCATTATCCTTGACCACTATTTGGACACTATGTTGTTCAAAACTGGAATCATTCACTTTACTCAGATCAAAGGAACAACCAATGTATTGGCCTTCTTTGTAGATGTTTTCACACTGAAGAATTTTTCCCAGGCTGCTGTGCCTACAAGAGAAAATGACACAACCCTCTGTATTATTTTGAATGAGATATTCAAGAGACAAGAGCATAATTTTTTAATGACTGGAGGAGATATCCACTGAAAGCAGTATTTGCAAAAAGGCAAGATAGCTTTTTAAAACCCCTGTCTTAAAACATGGCTCACTTCATTGTCTAGGAAGAAAAGCTTTTCTTTGGTGATGGATATCAGTATTGTCAACAGCTATAAAAACTATTGGAATCCTGACCTTTCTCTTATGGGAAGAAATATGAGGAAAGACTTCTAAAGCCAGGATGAGAAGTTTTATGCTTCTTGAGAACGCTCATGTACTAAACCCATGGCTTCCTTCTGTTCTCTCTGCCTGCTTTCTTCGTTATTTTCTCGGCTCATTCCTCTCCTTCCCTCTTCCCAGGGGATGGTACAATCTTCTGTATTTCTGACTCACTCATCTACCTACTCCCAGTTTTATCATTCCCATTCCTTCACTATACAGTAACTTCTATTCTAGGAGTTCCTGGTTTGAACCTCTCGCCTCAGCATTAGTCCCAGATTTCCAATGGTTCCATGTTAGTCTTCCACTTTTGCTTCACAGTCAGCACCCAAAACATACCAGACATCTTCTTCCCCACCAAACTGCCTTTTCTTCCAACCTTCCCATTATGTCACTCAGAGTTCATTTTCTCTAGGTTGCATAGATTTTTGAAATCACTTTTTTTCTCCTTTCCTTATTTTCTACCACTAAGTTTTGATGCAGAGCTTCTTGGATTCTTTTCTGCTGTGATATCCCCATTGCCCACACCCTGATTCATGATCTCATTGCTTCAGGCTTCATGCCTTCTCCAGATTGAACTCTCTGACCTTCATTATTAAGGCCCCTGCACTTCGATTGCTGCCAGATGGGTCCAGAACACAATGGCTTTCTAAGGGTTCTCCTTCACCATGTGGCTTTGAATGCCTTCTTTCACCAATGACTATCAGCATTATATAGTGCAAATAGACAGAATGTGCTCAAAGGTACATTTCTGTCTAGGCTACCAGAGAACTCTGTTTTTTAGTGACTGGCAGAAGACAGAGCCAGGCTTTACATCATCAGCCACAATGGGAGTTGTGCTAAGGTTCTGCAGAAAAGGAAGACAATTTCTAAGAAGTAAATGAAGAGTAGAGTCCCAAATCCTTGACCTATCACCTCAAAACTACTTGTAGTAATTTAAGGTGCGGATTCCTCAAACCCTATCCCAAAGAATCCAATTTACAAGGGTTTGCCTGGACCTAGGAATCAGCATTCCAACTGAAACTTCCCCAGGGGATTCTGCCGCAAATCCGGTTTTTAAAAAGCTGGGAAAGTACCTCAGTGCTAGGGTGCTCGCCTCACAAGTTTGAGGTTCTCCTTCCAGTACCACAGCAATAAAGGAATAAACTAATTAAATAAAATAGATGGGTAGACTTAAAAAGTTCAGATCTAATGTATTTACCCCTTCAAAGGCCTTACATAGAATGTTTCAGCATAGAAATATTCCTGTCCTTTCAGAGAAAATGTTCTTGTTTTTAGGAAAAAAAATCTTCTTATTCTTCAGGAGAAAACTTTTTCTCCTTGTTACAGGTTTCTGGAGTTTATGTGAAGAAACAGTTCTTTAAAAATTAGGCTATTGTCATGGCTAGTTTTTGGATCACATGGTCCTGGAATGTTTCCTACTCACAGTCAGAAACAGAAACTAAAGAAACTAATGACATTTTTCTTCATAACTAAATAAAACTATGTATAAAATTAGTTTATTTTAATAATAGAAGGAGCTCCTCTAATGGGCAAGCTTTTAGATATCTTTCTCAATTTTGTACCATCTCTGGATCCATATGTGAATTTTTTTTTCATTTTTTGATGCCTCACTACGTAGTTCAGGCTTGCCTTGAACTCACTATGTAGTCCAGGCTGCCATGTAGTCCAGGCTGGCCTCGAACTCATGGCAATCCTCCTGCCTCAGCCTCCTGAGTACTGGGATTGAGGCGTGTGGTACCATGCCTGGCCCAGATGTATAGTTTTAAAAATAATTTTGTAATTTAGAAGTAGTACTAAGGGGGAGAATAGTGGCTTTCAGTAAACAACATTTTTGAATTCCTTGTGAAAAGTTACAAAAGCAGATGACCCTGTTAAAATTTATAAAATGAATTCCTCTGCAGAATCACACTGTAGACAGGAAATGGACAAATTAAAGACTATTTTCCCAACTCTGAAGATGATTAATGTGGTAAGGAATTCCCTAAAGTTCATTGCCCTGGCTGGCCTGTAGCTATTCAAGTCAGGCTCTTTTCAATGCCAGGCACAAGTCATTGCCCTGGGGTGTCAAAGAATTTAAAAAATGACTCCATATTTTCTAGTTGGGGATTTGTGAAAATGGCCTTCGGCCATTTGTGTGATATGATTTACACCAGTACCTTAAGCATTACAGGTGCTTGCGAATGAGCACCATGTCCTCACTGCCTTGTTTTTGTGGTTTTGACTGGAAAGGATCTATCTAGGGGAGAGCAAGGAAGAGAGCAGGTATGAGCTCGGTGCCAGTTCCATGAGGTGGGGAAGAGGCTGGCGCTGTGTGCTGATGATATCTGCAAGGGAGTGGGGATGAATACCAAACACCAGGAACAACAACAAACAACAGCTATCGTGCACTGGGTGCTTACTCTATACATGCTAGCAGTGAGTCACAGCCCCGAACACTTTCAGTACAGTAACAGCCCTCAGAACAGTCTTGCCATGTAGGCACTAATATCACTATCTCCATTTTATAGATTATAAAACTGAAGATCAGACAGAAGGCCCTAAATAGTATTTCTAGTAAGAAAGAGAGCCAGGATTTGAACCCAAGTAGTGTGATGCGATGAAGGCAGAAGATATAGAATCCACCAAACCTGTTGAGCAGAGCTGTCTGAGATGATGGAAATGTTTCCTCTCTGTGCTATCTAATACAAGAGCCACTGCAAAGTGGGTAGTGAGACGGAACAACTAAAGTTTTCATTTAATTTTAATGATTTTAAGTTAAAATGTTAATAGGTGCACGCAGCTAGCAGCTCCTGTGCTGAATAGCCCAAGTACATGCTATGGAAAGAGTTCCTGCTGGTGACAAACTCTGGGAATGTGTATGGCAAGGAGTAGGATATTTGATACCCGTCCCCTTGGGTGCCAGTGAACCACCATTCCCTGTGGACCACAATTCTCTGTGGCTCTGTGGAGCCACCTCCAACTGTTGCACACTGTACCTTGAAAAAAGCCATTAACTGAGACCTAAAAGCCAGCCCAAGAACCACGTGTGTCAGCTTTTGCAAATGCCTACTTCAGCCCAGAGGAAGAGCAACACTTCAACTCACAGGAAAAAGAATGGTCTTTCAAATTGGTGAGTCCATTTCTTTTCTAATTCATTTACCCCAAGGAGACATTCTGTGCAATTCGCGCTGAGACTTGGTTTGTGCTAGCGCATCCCTAGACCTTTTCTTATTTTTGTTGTAGAACCTTAACTAGGCCACCATGTCCCTCCATTGTAACCCTGATATAATAGCTAGGTTACTCTCCCACATAGACTGCCGTGCGATGAGACATATTTTAAGACTTCTTTCCTTCCCCTTATGTAGACACAGGTTCTTCAAAGGTTCTCCCTGTGGTTTAACTCGTAATGACCCTGGGGTTAATAGCAGAATGACCATAGGGATGCCACTGACTCCTAAGACAACTGAAAAGTTTGTAATAACAGCTTTCCTAGACTTCACTGCAACACCAACAGAGCCAGACTATTCCTTCTAAGACTTGTTTGTGTGGCTTCGCTACAAAGTCTTCAGGGAGTCAGATCTGTTCAGTGGTGTTCTCTCTTGATTTCTGAACTATACTGCTTCTGAATTGCTTGTACTTCCTAAGTTCTGACCCCAAATCTGAGTGTTCTCTAGCTTTGTTCTCACCAAACATTCACAAGTGATTTATGGAAAACCTAGCATGTGTCAAGCACCAGGGGAAACAAGACCCAGCTCATGCTCTCAAAGGACATTGCAGCCGAGGGCAGGCTACTACTCAGTAAACAGGAAATGACAATACAATGTGCTGAACACTATGACATGCAAAAGCACAAGGTGTCGTGAGACATAATGAAAGGGCATGCATCTAGACATGAGAGGTCTAGGAAGGCTTTCTGGTGAGGAAATAAGTGTCTGAATTGAGCTGAGGAAAAATAAGAGGCTTTGGGTAAACGGGCAAGGCATGGCTACAAGGGAATCCTCCATGCTAGACAGAATGTTTCCATACCTCTGAGGAATAGTCTGCTTGGATTCTACACTGCTGCCTGAGTATTTGAGAGTCAATTTGAGAAACTGAAAGAAGTTCAAAAGGGCAGGAGTGAAGGAAGGAGATGAGACCAGGGCTGGAGTGGTTGACAGGAGCCAGGTCATGAAGGGCTTTTTCTGTCTTGTTGAAGACTTGACTTTTTCCCAAAGCCATGAGGGAACCAGGAAGGATTTTAAGAAAACAAGAAATGACAGGTACCAAAAGTTGACAAATGAAACTATAAAACTTCAATTGAGAATTATTTAAGTCAAGAGGGAAAAACAAACCTCCAGAAAGAACCACACAACCTCAGTGCCGTCTGGCTTCACCTGAAGTGCTTCTCGCTTTTTCCAGAAGGACCCTCCCCACTGGGAAAGAGAGGGAATGCTAACCCTTAGGCCACTTCAGAGGCTTTCATTCCAAACTTCATGTGGGTTTGAGGAGACACACATGATGAACCTGATTTAAACATTATTTTAACATTATACATTTTACACATGCATTGACATATTGCATGATATCCCTTAAATATGAACGCATAAATCTCTGTATATAGTTATGTTAAATATAAATAAAGTTGAAATGAAATTTGGAGTTTTTGCATTCTATTACATGATATAGCCATGAGTGTTCTCATATACCAAAATTACCTTTCATCAAGTCATCATGAAAAATATACTCCAGGATCGTTTTTCCTTCTTTTGACAGTGCTGGGTCTAGAATCTAGGGCCTCACAAATGCTAGGCAAGTGCTCTACCACACAGCCACACCTAGCCCGACAGCCCAGGATGAAAGGTCATGTTTGTCTATAGTCTCAGAAGTCCTGGACACAGCCCTCCACACCCCATTCTCTAAGAGTTGTTTTAGCAAACACTATTGCAGGGACAAGGCCAGGTAGAGGGCAGATTATTGAGGCTAGGTCACCCCTTCTCCAGGCTCCTTTCACACTGACTCAGTATCCCCATTTGTGAAGGGACAGAGGGGACAGTGAGAGAGTGCATAATGTACACCAAAATATGGGGCAGGGGTGGGGTTCAGGTCCAGTGTTCTACAGAGCAATAGAGCAATTAGAGTCTACAACTACTTACACAAAATGTTACTCAGAGAAATTAGGTGCAAGGTACATGAAGCGTCCTTATACATTTTTTGCAATAATATTTTGTGGCTCTATAGTTAAAAATAGGAAGTTTTTTTGTTAAGTAGACACCCAAAGCAGACACATTTTCCACTGAAGCAAACTGCCCATCATCCTGCCTTTATGGAAGGGAATAAACTGTTTTTTTCTCAGCTCGGATGGATTCAACAGCTCCCCAAATAATCATATTCAGATCTCCAGTCATTCTACTATACATATATACTCACCAATAGTAAAGAGTATAGTTAGTGTCGGGACTTGAATTCTTTCCAGGGAGCCAAGAACAGTTCATGAACCTCAGGTTGTGCCAGATGCACTGAAGCTCAGTCACAGCAGACTCGGGATCACCTAGAATATCCAGGCAAGAGTTTAGGGCTCTTCTCGACTTGGAATGCAAACTTGGCTCTGTGGCATGGGGGATGGGTGGGTGTTTCAGACTGCTTTCCCAGAAAACTAATCTCTAATCTTACTCCATTTTACCCAGAAGTCACGCATATGGCAAAAACCCAAATCTAATTTGTTTACAACCTTCTCCCTCACTTCCTGATTCAAGGAAAACACCTTTGCCATCTCTAAAGAATCCTAACTCTTGCACCTCTAATTTCAGAGAGGTATAATGTTTCAGTCAGGCACTGACTACAGAACTCCTAAATAAAAGTAGAAACACAAACAATCTCTATACTTTATTTATTTTGGTGCTGGGATGGGACTCAGGGTCTACCACACGCTAAGCATATGCTCAAACACTTAGCTACATCCTCAGCTCCAACTCTCCTATTTAGAAAAACATTATGGAGGTACAATACACCTTCGTGTCTTTTGATCAATACTGTGCAGGAAAAGTAAACAGCATATCTCCTGGAGTAATTCTGGGGAAAGGGAGGCATAACTTAGTGCTTAATAAATGCTTATTTTGTGTTGTGACTTTTATGAGCTCTAAAACCTTTCTGATCTGCAAATCTATAAGCTGTTTTAGTTAAGGAATCATGTCTCTAATTTAAACGCCTCTGCTTAAAATGTAAACTTTTATCCCTCATGGTCCTTTAAGGAGTGCCATCATCAATTTTATGTCATAATCTAATTGTTTTGAAATACGAATAGAGTAGGTCAGTTGTTTAAATTATGATCCCATCCTCCCAGAAGTTCTGAATTTTATGATTTTGTTAATAGTACTTCATATGTTTCCAATCAGTGCAAAGCAGGTAGAGCCCACAGTGCTAAGGTTAGAGCTGGGAGATGACCTGCTCAACCAAGGGACAATATGTGTGCATAGGTAATATGTGTAGGGCATTTACTCTTTGCCAGCCATCACCCTAAGTACCTCACATGTATGGACTTAGGCTAGCACGCTTTTTTTTCCCTTTTAACAGCTTTTACCTAAATACATCTTGTATCCCAAGTTAATTTCCCTACATCATGAATAAGATGGCATTTTGGTTTTCTTAAAAGTACTGGACCTGGAGTCGGAACACCTAGAGCAAGTCATTCAGCCCTTCTTCCTCATAAATGGACCATGACAATAATATGTGCTTTGGCCCACAAGATAAGCACGTAAGGCATAGTGTAGGGGAGCTCTGTGTGTGTGTGTGTGTGTGTGTGTGTGTGTGTGTGTATGTGTGTGCACGCATGTGTATTCATTTTTAGGTTAGAAGCACTGTTATGTACCAGGCATTGTGACTTGTGTTGTCTGTGAGCTCCTTGAAGACACAGGCATACTCAGACTTATCATCATGTGGCCAGCCCCGAGTGTACAGCAAAAGTTTGCAAATTGAATGCATTCACAAACAATGAGCACGGAGCATCTCAATTTATTCACTAAATACCAAGACAGTGCTTTGGGATGTTACCTTCCAGGGGTGAGATGCACTTTTCCAGCAAAATGCTACGTTTCTCACTTTCATTGGTACTACATTGGGACCCCACTTGCAGACAAATCTTCTCATTTAGGGGGACTTCCTTTGAACGATGGGTTTCTGGAGCAATTTTCTGAGGTTGAAAAATTTAAAAAGGCATTGGTGTAGCAAACGTGGAAAAGTACACTTACATAAAATATTAGCATGCCTAAATGTATAAAAAGGCAAGTTCTCCAATGTTATAGATTAGTGATTCTCAGGGCAGGTGAAGTTTGCTCTGCTGCTATCCCTGAGGACATTCAGTAAGGTCTGGAAACATTTTTAGTTATCATAACTCAGATATATCAGTAGTGCCATCACTGAGAAACCTTATTGTACATAAAAGATAAGTTCTCACACTTTAAATGTACAAGCATTATGAAGTTTACCTATAAACGCACCAAGTTAACACATCAGCCATCTAAAAGTAAGTTTAAAGGGAATACAAAATAGAATTCCAAGCAGATAAAATATGCCATCAAGATCAAAATAAAAAAGGAATGCTTTAAGAATGCAGGTTACCTTCAGGGACTGTTGCTCAAAGAGATTTGACATTTAACTTTTCTGTACTGTTTGACTGTTTTGACTCTCATACCTGCATATAATCTCAATTACATTTAATCATCAAATAATTAGCAAAAATTTTTAAATGATCCATTTGGTTAATAGCTGTTTCTATAATTTTTCCCAACTGAAATGTGAATACAACTCAAAATAAAATCCCCACTCTGAAATATGATTAGAACTTGGTTCATTCCTTGCTCCAATTCATACTGCTCACTTTTCCCCATCAGTACAATATGTCCCTGAAAACTCACCTTCTCCTTCTGGTCATCAAAATGACTAAAATACCTTAGGCTACAATTTGGGCTGGCTCCCTCAGGAGGATTCCATGTCCATATTACTGTGCAGAGGTTTTCAATAGAGACACTCAAATTTGTCACAGGTGGCTGAATCTCTGTTCAAATCAAGCACAAGTAATACATTTATCAATAACATCCAGTATTTTTAATGGTTCATTTAGTCCATTCTCCCAGATCCTAGATGACAGGAATAGTAATATCTACATTAACAATATCTAAAATTTCCTGAGCCAGGCACTACTGCAAAGAAACATATTAATCCATTTAATTCTCCCAACAACCTTTGCATTAGAGAGTACTATGAGCTCATGTGAAAGACGAGGTAACTAAAGCACAGGGATGTTAAGTCCCTTTCCCTATATCCCATGGTTAGTAAGTGGCAGAGGTGGGATTATAACCTAGAAAATGTGGCTTCAAGGTCATATTCTTAGCTACAATTCTCCCTTAGTATCCATGGAAGACCATTTCCAGAACCCCCTACAAATACCTAAACCTGTGGGCACTCAAATCCCTTCTACAACATGGTGTAGTATTTGCCTATAACACACACATAGCCTCTCACATGTTTAAATCATCTCTGTATTATTTATAATTCCTAATACAATGTATATACTGTATTATTAAAAAAGAGAGAATCTGTACATGTTTGGTACATGTTTCTTCATATATTTTTCATCTGCAGTAGGTTGGCCCCCAGATGCAGGACTCTGGAATGAAAAACCTACAGACAAGGGGAGCCAACTGTACTTGCTATCCTGTGAACATTAAATTGTGTATATTATTAAATATAGCATTGCCTATTGGTTCTTCTTCAGGAATTTGGGGATCATTACCCTTGGAATTCATATCTTAATATAGACAGTTCAATCTCAGTAGTTCTATGAGTGAGTTTAAGAAGCTCATCTTTGGGCAGGCCTCATGGCACAACAGTAGATGCCTGACTCCAAGAAATTCATCTTTAACTGTGCTCACTAACATGATCTGGCAATTTTTTAAATATAGTTTTTCCAAAGAAGCACCATGAAAGAGATTTAGCAGCCCTGTTGTTCCCCTGAGGCCTGACAGTAAGCAGCTGGAGCTAGAGCTTTGGCTAATCTCAAGAAGAAAGGAAAAAATAATAAACTGCAACACCATTTCCAACTTTCCTGAGAACTTTTAAGACCAGGACTATCAAAGTCATCATACCCTAGAAACTGGATGGAAGTGTAAAGGGACTCTCTGTCCTATCTTTGTAACTTTTCTGTGAGTCACTACACACCTGTAAACCCAGCACTCCAAGAGGCTGAAGCAAAAGGATAGTGACTTGGAGCCCATACTGATGAATTTAATAACTTTGCAACACCCTGTCTAAAAATAAAAAAATAAAAAAGAGCTGAGGATATAGCTCAGTGTGAAGGCCCTGAGTTCAATCTCTTGTACAATGCTAAATGAATGAATGAATGAATGAATCCTTTTAAAAAATAATCTCCCCAAATTTTCTAAAGTGATAAATTAAATCATCATCAACTGCTTATGTAGCATAGTTGCAGTATTCCATCAAACCAAATCCAAAGTTACGAGAAGGAAGGAAATGAAGATTAGAGCAGAAACAAATAAAATGAGTAGGTAAACATAGAAAACTCAATGAACATAAAAGGTTTTTTTTAAAAGGTCAACAAAACTGACAAACTCTTAGCTAGACAGATTAAGGGAAAAAGAGAAGACTAAAATTAAAATCATAAAATAAAATGTGAATATTATTACTGATTGTAAGAAATAAAGGAAATGGGTGTGACGGCATATGCCTATAATACCAGCACTGCAGGAGGGCTAAGGCACGGACAATTGCAGCTTTAAACCCAGCCTGGGCAATTTAGTGACTTAGCAATATCCTGGCTCAAAATTTAAAGAAATAAAAATAAAAAAGGTCTGGGGATGGAGCTCAGTGCAAAATCTCAAAAACCAATACTATAAAAAGAATTATAAGAAAGTAGTATGAACAACTGCATACTAACAGATCAGATAAGCTAGATGAAATGAGTAAACTCCTAAAACACAAAACTAAATCACAAAAAAATATAAAATCTGAATATCTGTAAATAGTAGGGAGATTGAATCAGTAACCAAAATCTCCCCACAGAGAAAAGCCTTGCACCTGATGGTATCATGAGTAAACACTATCATATATTTAATGAATATCATACCTTCTCAAACATTTCCAAAAAACTAAAGAGGAAAGAACACTTCCTGTCTATGAGACCATAATTACCTGATGCCAAAGCCAGACAAAGACAACTACCAAAAACAACAACAACAAACTACAGACTTATATCCTTTATGAACCAATGCACAAATCCTCAACAAAATACTGGCAAAGTGAATTGCAGAGCATATCAAAAGGATTATGCACCATGACCAAGTGAGATTGATTCCAAGAAGGGTTATTTGACATGCAATAATTAATCCGTGTATTATACCACATAAACTGAACGAAGGTGGAAAACCTACACAATCATCTCAGTTGATGTGGAAGAAATGTTTGACAAGATTCAGCAGCTGGGGCTCGGTGTGTAGCTCAGAGGTAAAGTACATGTGTAGCATGCATGGTACCCTGGGTTTGATCTCCAACACTGCAAAATGAACTAAAAATAAAAATTCAGTGACCATTCATGATAAAAAAAATACTCAACAAACCAGGAATATAAGGAAACTATTTCAAAATAATAAGTGCTGTAGATGAGAACCTCATAGCAAACATCACACTCAATGTTGAAAGACATTATGTGTATGCTACTTTCCTGTCACTGGGACACCTTAAAGGAGGAGAGGTTTGTCTCACCATTTCCAGTGTGTTCAGTTCATGGCTGGCAGGCTCCAAGCCAGAAATGGCATGATGGAAAGACCAGGGTGGAGGAAAGCTGTGCAACCCATAACAGGAAGCAGACAGAGAAGGGAGGAGCCAGGGACAAGAATACTGTACACGCTTCCAGGTCATCCTCCCACCCTCAGCCAGGCCCTACCTCCTAACAGCACATTCCGCTATGAACTCATCAATAGATTAATCCACTGATAAGCACATGACCCCCATGATCCAATCACCTTCCACATATAGGGGACCTGGAGGGAAATTTTAGATCTAAACCGTATCAGAAAACTTTCTGTCTGAAATTAGGAGCAAGACAAGGACTTTCATAGGTCTGTCCCCCTTCTCTCCCATCACCACAGTCACCTGAGTTCCTGAACTCCAAAATAATCACTGCTGGTTCCTACATCTTATAGCCTCTTTACCCCCAACCTCCACCCCACCTCCACCCATGCTGGGGAACCATGCCTATGCTGCTAGATCACAGTGCACACTCATTGCTATAGCCATGTACTCAGCCATTCTTGCTCCCCCAATCTCACGTTCCCCCTTCGTGTTATCCCACCTAACCCTGTCCCACTAACTCCTCCACCCTATCCATAAAAGACCCAGCTCAATAAATGGACTTGGACTCTCCTTTGGGGTTACCCTAGGAGGTCCTACCCAGAACCCCTAAATTCAGCCTGGCTGTGTTCTTCATTGGGTCCTCACCATTTACCTAACAGACATCTGTTCTTGCCACTTCTATTCAACGTACTACTGGAACTTCTAACCACAGCAATTGGTTAGACAAGGAAAAAAATAAAAGACATCCTATTTGAAAAGCAGCGAAATTATTTTTGTTTGCAAATTATATGATTTTATGTAGAAAATCTTAAAAGATTCCACAAAAACTGCTAGAATGAATAAATGAATTTCACAATGTATCTGGATGTGAAATCAACACATGAAAATCAGTCAAGTGTGCAGCCCGAGTGACCACTGTTAAGTGCTTAATAATAGTATGTCTTCTCATACATGAACATGAGCTGTATTTCCATTTATGTCTTTAATTTCTTTCAAATTAAAGACATCTATAAATGGAAATGAATGGTTTATGGTTTTCACTGTACATGCCTTTGACCTCCTTGGTTAAGTTAACTACTAAATATTGTTTTGATGAGATGAAAAGAGTTATGGAGATGGACGGTGGTGATGATTGCCAAACGTCATAAATGCAGCACTGAATTATATACTTGCAAGTGTTTGGATTGCTAAATTTTGTGTTGCTAGCTGTTCCTCAATTTACAATGGGGTTATGTCTCAATAAACCCATCATAATTTGAAAAATTTTTAAGTCAAAACTACATTCGCAGGTGGGCATGTTGCTCTACATCTACAGTGCCAGCTACTCAGAAGACTGAGGCAGGAGGATTACTTGAGCTCAGGAGTTTAAGATCACCTTTGGCAACATAGCAGGATCCCAATTCTTAAAAAGAAAAAGAAAATATATTCACTATACCTGACCTGCTGAAAATTATAGCTTAGCCTAGACTACCTTGAACATGTTCAAAAAATTCACATTAGCCTACAGTAGCTTCAACAACCAAAATGTTGAATAGTTTGTGTAGTTTATTGAAAAGACCCAAATTCAAAATTTAACCTATACTTTCTATTAATGTGTACTGTTTTTCACACCATGATAAAGTTAAAAAATTGTAAGTAAGATCATAATTAAGTTGGGGACCATCTGTGTTTTGCCACAAATAAAAAATACTCTCTAAAACTTAAAATATAACCTCCATATGTTTAAATATATATGAAGAGTTGTGAATCGTGTGTGTGCCCAGACATACATAAACAAGTGGTGATTACACTTCTTGAAATGGCTTTAACAGCCCTTCATGTTTAATTTCAGTACAGTGGAGCATTTGGGAGAATAGACTGCAGCCAGTCTGCCTGCGTTCATATCTCAGCTCAATTATTTACTAACTGGCAAGTTATTTAACCACTCTATTCCTCAGTTTTCTCACCTATAACATTAGGATGATTAACATGATGCAAAGGGTTTTTATGAGAATTGAATGAGTTAATACAGACAAAGTGCTTAGAACAGTGTGTAAACACAGCAAGTGCTTTTAGCTATTTTCTTGTTCTGAAAGACAACATGGTTGTAAACAGTTGTTTTGATTGTCTATGAAACTGTTACATACCCATGGCCTTTGAGATAGACAAATATCCCCTCTGCCTTCCTTAGGCATCTGTTTTCAACAATTTCTTAGGGGCTTATCCCTGACTTCAGAAAGGGAAGTGGGAAGGAGGAAGGGACTCAAGTATCTCCACTAGCTAAATTGCAAACCCCAAATGAGCTTGGATAACCATCTAGCACCACATCCTACATGAATGAGGAGTTCATACAATCACTATTCTTGGCCGGACTGTACAGTCCAAACACTAAATATTACAGGTGTTCAAAAGAGAGGAAACTGTGAGGGTTGATAGTTACATGGAAGAAGTACAAGGCATTTTGCTTAGCTTACAGCTTTTGCTCTCTCCTGTAATCACAGGAACTGGCAGAAGCACACACATTTCGGGAAAAGTTGAGAAAATACTCAGTCACATGTGAGTCATCCATCTCCTTTCCTCACATTCACTCAGTCATCAACTCCTGTCTCTGTAGTTTTGCAACATCTTTTGTTAACTACCTCCCTCACACTGATGTGCTCTCCGGAGCCCCACAAGGAGTGCAGATGCCACTAAGACACGGACCTAGACGGGAGGTGCACAAAGCACATGATGCTAGAGACCTGCAGCTCCAATTCCTATGGCGCTTTGCCCCCCAGTGGTTCGCCTCCCCAGTCAGGTCCTCCTGCTTACTTCTCCTCCAGTGTCATTTCCCTCAAGCTACACCCTGCTGGGGTCCTTCCAGGGTAAATAAGGCTTTTCTGCCAAGCCAGGCTCCTTGCTGACCACAAAGGAGCACTGTCACACTCACACCTGGGTCTCTGCCCCTGCTACCCTGCCCACACTAGGAATCACTACCTACTCAAATTCCACCCACCTTCAAGGCCAAGCTCAAGCTGTACCTCTTCTGTGAAACTACTGACCCTGTTTCCTCTCTTCTGAACATCTGTAGTATTTACTCTTTGGACTACACAGATAAGCCATTATAAAGCCAGTCTCCAATATGCGATCATTTGTTTTTAACAAATAGTCTGTATATAGTTTCATGGGTCCCAACCAGTCCTACTCTGCCACCCTGGGAGCCACCCAGCTCCTCCGTCAGAGAAGGACTTCTTTCACTTGGGCTGAGAGAGCCACTGAGTACCTCGGTTAACGGCATGGCCTCTGAAATCAGGCTTCTGGGGTTGGAAGCCTGACTCCTCCACTTTATTTGAACCAGGGTCTTAGCCTCACTCTGCCTCAGCTTTTTCATATCCAAAATGTAACCAATAACAGCACGTATAGCTTAGGCCAGTGATGGCGAACCTTTTAGAGCTTTTAATGATACAAACAGCCCACTGCAGCATGCACGCCGTAGGTTCACCACCACTGGTTTAGGCTGTTTGTAAGATGAAATGAAAAAACAGTCTGCTGCACTCCTGTCATCCCAGCACTTGGCAGAGCAAGGCAGGATGACAAGTTCAAGGCCACTCTGGACTACACGGCAAGTTCAAGGCCAGGCTAAGCTATATACTGAGACCCTATCTCAATCGAAAACTCAAAATCAAACAACATAAAAAAAATAAATAAAATGGAAGTTAAACCTTTAGAAAACTGCTGGGCATAAAGTAAACACTACACAAAAGCTAGCTGTTATTAAAAAATGTCACAATGCAGACTATTGAGCTAAACTGACTACAAACAAAACTGGTAACCTAATCATTCTCACACACTCAGAGGACCAGAGCTGGAGGAGCTTTTAGAATTTAGAGAGTTCAAGGTAATTTCACTGATGAGAAAACTGCAGCACAAGGGAGGGGAAGATGACTAGCCCAGAGGCTCACAGCTGGTAAATATCGAAACCACTAAAACTCAAGTCTGGTGACTGGAGGTATTACATTCCTTCCCATCACACCTCAATGCAATTCTATCAATATATCTAGTGGAAAGAAAGTTTCCATGTACTAAGTAACCCAGTTATCATCAAACCATCAGGACAAAACTGATTAAGTGGGGGCTTCCAGCATTGCCTAGAAGGCCTGCTGTTGTTTCAGGTGTGTAAGAGGGGGAATCTGTAGGAGAGAGAGTGTGGGACTGACACTATGAAAATCAGGAGACTAATGAGATGGGTGGCCTTAGACAACTCCCTTCCCTTCTCTGGACTGCAGTTTTCCCATATGCTTATGGAAATCGGGTGTCCCCAGTTGAACCAGAGGGACTTTGGAGGCCTAAACATAGAGCATATTCTTAAAGCAACCTTGAGAGCCTGGTTCAGCAGTAAACAAGGCAGACATCTGAAAGCTGCGGATGTAGCTCAATGGTAGACCACTTGCTTAGCATGTTTGAGGCCCTGGATTCCATCCCCAGACTGCAAAAACAAAAAAACAAAAAACCAAAAAACAACAACAAAACAAAAACAAACAAACAAGAACCCTTCTCAGTGAATTCTTTCCACTCCCTCCCATTTACAATGGCAAACCCTTTCCCGGCCTTGGTTTCTCTCCATAGTACTTGGTACTGTCTGACATGTCATATATTTTACTATTTTCCCCTTTGACTGCCAGGAGCATATTAGCTCCACAGTATAGGGACTTGATCTGTTTGCTCACTGTAGCATTCTTAGCTCCTAGAACACTGCCTGGCACAGACAAGACTACATACATTTTGTTAACTAAACAACAGATGACACTGAGGTTTCCTAATTAACAATTTAACTCTGGTTTCAAAGCACACTGATAAAAATGCAATAAACAGCCTGGCAAGCGCAAGATCGTGAGTTCGGTTCCCGGTACCGGAGAAAACCCAAAAAACCAAAAAAAATAAAAAATAAAAAATAAAATGCAATAAACAAATTGTTGGTGTCTGTTTCAATGTGGCAATAAAACCTGTAAAATTTGGAGCTACGATTTTTACCCAAAATGTTCAAAGGGTCACCCATGCCAGGAGCAGCTGGTGAGGAAATCATTAACCCTCAATCTTCTCAGCAGTCCTGTAGGGCTGACTGATTAAAAGCGGCTGCACAGGGGTGTGGGGGATAGAGGAACTTTCTGATCAATCTTTGCAACTTTTCCGTACATCTATGATTATTCCAAAATATAAAGCTTATTAAAGAGGGGCAATATCTGCCCAGTTGCTGCTCCAGGTTTCCCAATGGATTTAGTGGACGCCAGAGAAGGCCGTGACCCTCAAGTCCTTTTAATACAGAAACTGGGATCTTCCAGAGCTTCCCTTCAAGGTCCACACCAAAAGCTACACTTTGATAGTGCTGATCAACACGGCTCTGGGCGAAGAGCCCGTGAAGTTTTGGGCTCCCCCAGACTTGGGTCGCCAGCCCAGCTAGTCCCTCATCTCTTGGGTTCACAGTCAGAACCACTGGCCTGTTTCGGTCCCGCCCCCGGGCCCCAGCCTCTTGGCTCTTCCCGAGCGCGCAAGGGAAGTGGGACAGCAAGCCTTCGTCCTGCTGCTCCGCCACCGTCGCCGCGCCCGGAAAACCCCGCCACTCCCGGGTCCCCGACCTCGAATGGAGCGCGAGCGCCAGGCTCCAGAGCCCCAGCCCTAGAGGCTATGGTCGCCGAGCGCGGAGCGGGGGCGACAGCCCGCAGCGCCCATCCTCGCCGCGCCCCTCGGCCCCGCGGTGTCCCCTCTCGCTGGCCTTTCGCCACGACCCCTGCCCTCCGACCACCGCCCGGGTTCCGGAGCTCACTCACCTAGGGGCGCGGCGCCCCCGCCGGCGCTGGCGCAGAGCAGCAGCGCCCACAGCCCACATACCCGCGCCGACAGCTCCATACAGCCCCTCGCCACCGAGCCCGGCCGGGCTGGAGCCTGGACAGTCTCCGCCTACTTCGCTCCCTCTCCCACTTCCCGGCTCTGCCGCCCGGGAGGCTGGGGGCCGGTGCAGACGGGAAGGCCCGCCCCACCCACGGCCGCAGGTAACCTGAGCCGGCGCGCAAGGGCGGGCCCGAGGGCTCCTGGCTGCACCTGGCCTCACCGCCTGCGCTCCCGAGGCCCACCGTCCCCGACCCAACAGTGACTTCCTTGACCACGTCCCGGCCAGCTCAAGCGCCTGCCGGCCCCCGCCCTCTGCGCGGTGGAGTCAGCGCCCGCCCTCGTCGCTGCTAAGGTGCACGCTCGCGGGGCCTCGAACATGCCATGGGTTGTGCCCTGTGGAACACGAGGGCAGGATCCTAGGGAAAGAACCTTGGTCTGGGAGCCTGGAAACCTGGCTACCAGCTCTTGCCCTCTGAGCCTTTGCTTCCTAAACTCTGACTCCAGGGTTAGTAATACCAGCCCTACCTCACTGGGTGGACTGGAAAATCCGCATAGGGGTCAGTGACACTGTGCTTTGTGGAATGGACAACTGGTATGTCTGAAAGCTGGTAAACACTATATTGAGTTGAATATAAAAGCAACAGTACTATACTATGTACTTGAATTTTTAATCACGTAACCAACTTCCTATGTATTTTTCAAGGATATATATTGAAAGGATAGAATGAGTCTGAAGGCTACACACTGAATACATGAAATTGGGTGCCTCTGAGAGCTGGTGAGGTTGGGGAGTGGGGAAATGAGAACGCTTATGAGTTTCCTGCTACTGCTGTAGCAAATTACCACAGGTTTAATGATATAAAACACAGTTGTATCACAGTTTCAGAGCTCGGAAGTCTTACGGAGCTAAAACCAAGGTGTGGGCAGAGCTGCATCCCTTCTAGTGATTCTAGGAGAGAATCTGTTCCCTGACTTCTCTGGCTTCTAGAGACTACCCACATTCCTTGGTGTGTTGCTGTACCCTCTGCAGTACTTCCCTTGTCATGTCTCTGGCTCTGCTCTTCCGGACTCCACTTTTCCTTTATAAAGATGCTTGTGCTTACACCCGGCCTCCCGGATAATTTCCCCCATCTCAGAGCCCTGGGTTTGATCACATGTGCAGTCATTTTGGTTGTGCAAGGTAGCACATCCACAAGTGTTGAGAATTAGGGCATGCACATGATTGAAGGAGGCATTGCTCCATCACTTTCCCCCCTAAAAATACATCTGGATGGATGATGAGACCCACGAACAGCAGTACATTTTTATCAAATCAAGCCACCAATTCATACTACACCTGAAAACAGTTGTAAAAATGTATTAATAAAAAATTGATAATACCTAGTCTCAGACTCATCTAAAAGGCATCAGGATGTTTAACCTAGCCCAGTGATGGTGAACGTTTTAGAGCTTTGGATGAAACAAACAGCCTGACCGTGGCGCTTGTGCCTTAGGTTTGCCACCACTGACCTTGCCGACACAAAGGCACCACTCTTGGAATAAAGACCCTTGGTTTCAGTAAATATTTATGAAGCCCTTCAAGGGATTATGAATGGCAGTCATTAAAAGTAGACCTTTCTAGGGGTGTTGCTCAGTGGTAAAGCACATGATTAGTGAGTGCAAGGCCCTGGGTTCCATCTCCAGAACAAATAAGAAAAGAAAAGAGTAAAGCAAAGCATGCTTGCTAACAAAGCAATTTGAGAGGCTATCATGAGGGCAAGAACATGAAGCTGTAGGGAGTAAAGAAGGGTCCTTATGGGAGGGAAGGGGCAAGGAAGGCTTCTAGAAGGAGGACCTACCTGCACTGAGTCTTAGGATATTGATCCTGGCAGTTAAAGGTTCAGCATAAATCCACATATATGTTATATATAATATATTACATTATAATTATACATTATATATTATAATTATATATTATATATTTGAATAAAATAAGGTTTTTGAAAACTATCAGAGCTGATAGAACTGAGAGATATTGCTCTTTTATTCAATCTCTCTGTGAATAGGTCGGTGACTCTCAAACCCAAAGCCTTCTTTCCCCGATCACCACAGACATACACACTTGTTGAGATTTGCTGTAAACATTATACAATAAGTTTATAATAACCTTTCCAAAATGATCATGCCAGCTGCCTTTTAAGGAGTCTCCAGTTGGAAAAGGAGCTGCTGGGGACTGGCTGGGTGCCATCATGACCACTGGCTGGCACGGATAGAGAAAGTGCTTAGTAAAATGAACAGTAAATGGTAACACATGATTGGAAAAATAAGGGTTGTGACTTGTCATTAACCTCCAGAAAAGGCCTGAATAATTTGAGCATTGTGAGGAAAAAGACAAAGGACTGCAAGGGGTGGGAGGGGACCTGATTTCCTTTCACCAAGAGAATTCTGGCCTACTGTCCATAAAACTGTGTAATTAGTTCCCTTTATTTCCCACCCTAAGCATCCAACAACAATTTTTAAATTTTTCTGAAGGGGTTGGAGAGGGTTAAGAATGCTGTTTCTTCAACATGAAGCCATTATTTGTAATCCCTGTGCACTCTTATTTGAAGGGCATCGTGGATTCAATCAGGCCACGGTTCTGGTATGCAGGAAGAATGAAGACAAATGGAAGGCTTTCCAGGAACCGCAATAAACACGAAACTCTGGTTTTGCATAATCAAAAGCATGATGAGGCAACATCAAGTTTTAGCTTTAACCCTTACCCCGCTGATGACTTGAGTGTGGGACTACCGGTCACCTCTGTTGCTTTGGCCCCTAGTGGCTGGAGTTCTGGGCTGTCCGATGTACTTCAGTAGCTCCTTTTTCCCCTTCTCACTAAGCTTTGCCCCTTTTGCAGGTGGAAAGAAGCAGGAACAAGAAAATGTCCGACAGGAAAAAGTGAATGGGCAGCTCTCCTTCTAGCCAGTGAGAAACACCCTCATAAGTTCAAAATGGACATGGACACCAGCATATACCACAGGCTTAGGTGAAAATCTCGCGAAGGGTCCTCTACCATTTATTAGGCAAAATCCAAACAGATCCTTACACCATTGCAATGCAAAGAAAAAGGAGAAGTTACCAACAGGGGAATTTCCCTCCTGACTCTAGAGCAATGGCTCCCAACTAGGGGCAATTTTGCTTCTCTGGGGACATTTGGCAATGTCTGGGGGTATTTTGGTTTGTCCTGACTGACAGGGGAGGGATGCTCCTGGCATCTAGTGGGCAGAGGCCAGGGGTGCTGCTAAACATCCTCCAAGACGCTGGGACAGCCGACAACAAAGGCTTATCCTACTCAAAATGACAGTAGTGCCAAAAGTTAAGAAATCCTGAGCTAGAATACTCTTTTATCCCTTTGTCCTTGTCCTCACCTACCTATTGTCCCAGCGCCTGCCAAAAAAAGTAACAGAAGGGTGCTAAAAGCACTCAGTTTTGATACCTCCCTGTCCTGTATCTAGCACCCCTAGTTCCTCCATCCCACTGTCTAGCCATGCAGTTACTTTGTAGATTGTAAACCATCTCTTAGCTCTGAACCACACCCCCCCGACACACACACACACACACCTCCACGGTCCTGTTTTGAGTCCCTGACACTGTTTACCACCATGTCTTTTCAAGCTGGCTCTAAAGATCCACCCTCCATGAAGCAGATCTTTTCCAATACATAAATCGATCATTTCACACTCCAGCTAAAACTCCTGAAGTGACATCCCTCTCCTTAAATGCCACAAAGGGAATTCCCAATGCCTTTGCCTGCAAGCTTGCCTCTTCAGGACAGACTGATTCTCAAGACACTTCACAACCACTCTCCAGCCAGGCTCCTAGGTCACTCACAGCTGTAGTGCTACTAGCTGACTTGCCATCCTCAGGCTCAATATCCTTGTGGAGAGAGAGAGAGAGAGAGAGAGAGAGAGAGAGAGAGAGAGAGA